GCACGAGATTACTGTGTGGTGGATGTCCTCCCCTGGGGTGGGATGGGTGGGGAAGATAGCAGGTCCACATCAGCAAAATAGCTGGTATAAAACTCAACCTGCTCAAACAAATAAAGATGATGATGATGATGATGTTTCGCTGGTCTTCACATATGATTCGTGTTGCGCATGGATACTCACTCTTTCAGCAACTCTTGATAGATCGTGGCATTTGTTGAGTGTTGTCTCTATCCTCTCATATTGTACAAGTGCAGTGATGAGTTTTTTATACATATATTTCCTCTTTTCCTTATTTTTCGGTTTAAATTTCAGCAGATTTTCCAAAGGCCGTGTCCTGATGGCCGCCATCTTGCAAACTCTCCACGCTCATTCAGTTTTGAATAAATCCGCTGAGCATACAAAACGTGGTCGTGACATTGCTAAGTGGCCAGGCGATTACCACAGGATAAAGATGGCTTCAACTTTGCTGAGAGTAGCTGGAGAAGGAACGTTGCTTAGATCTCTTGTCCCTTGTGTGAATGTAATCCCGGTGCGTTTTAGGGTGCGAAGAAAAATGCCAAAGAAAAGGAACAACCCTTTTGTTCAAAGACGCACGGATTTCATCAAAAAACTTGTGTTAGCTTTGGTCCAGCACGAACGGGTACAAACTACAGATTGGAAGGCTCAGCAGTTGAAGAAATACGCAGAACTGGTGAGAATGAAAGTATTGCGATTGATCAGGCGTAATTTTAGCCAGTCTTTTTGGATTGGTTAAGAAGACTGACTTTTCAGGGCTACCACCTTACATTCCTTCTTCTCCCCACCTGCATTGAAAAATCCGAACCCAGGTTCAATATTTCCCAGGTCCTCCAGGGGTCAATGAACCAACCAATTCGATCATTATATCTCCCCGGGTGGCATATTGGCCCAAATATTTATTGATAACCCTTTAATCCTAAGATTGAACAAGATCTAATCTACCCTTACAGCAATATTGCTGAATCACTCATTAAGATCATGAAAATAAAGGAAATGATTGCCAAGCTGAGAAGCTTTGATTGTCAAACAAATTCTGTTTATCAGCAGCAGTGGAAATATAGAGAACAGTATTGAGAATACAGATACTGATATTAGGATGTGAAGCGTTTAAGACTTGTGGAAAAGCTGATAAATCCATTATGTCTCTATAGGACTTAACTGTGGTTCCACCTTATGTAAAATACTATTTTTTTTTACAGTCTTTTTTAAAGATCTTTTTAATATGATAAAATGCACTTGAATATCAGGATACTGGCATCAAATATACATCTTTATCATTATCTTTATCATTATATGTTTATTATAGTTAGTTTATACCATACAAGTGAATAGTGCTTTTGATGCGCACTGATTGGCTGGTGCACAGGAACTGATGAAACAAAATCACCTGTCATAAGTTTAATTTCCACCCATTTTTCAGTATATTGAAAGAAATCAAGTAATTTTTTCAGTATATATGTGGTATAGACTCAAACAATTATTCACCCTGGTTTGAGAAAAAGTGGTGGTTATGTTGTAGTTCAATTTTATCCTTGGTTCCAATTTTATTTTCCTTTGTTTCAAACTCATTATCATACATTAACATGACCAAGAACAAAGGAAAATAAAATTTGAATCAAGTATAAAATTGAACCACAACAGATCTATTATTTACCTTGCTACCTCATGGCTTGGTAAATATCCACTGCTACAGTGAATAATTGTTAATTAACCTTTTGACGTCCAGTGCACCCGTATGCGCCCATGTGGACCCATACCCTTTCTACGCCTTGTGACATCATCACTTTTAACCCTGGAGCACGACTTTGAGCACGTACTTGAACAGGTTGAAATATCTTACAAACGATACCAGAATGAGTGCAATTGAGTGAAGGAGATTGGAGAAATAGCCAAAAACCAATGTAACGTTGACCTGAAAATCTTCCTAAAAATCTTGTTCCATTGCCCACCTACCTTACTGAGCATGTGGTTTGAAAAGAATGAGTAGTTTCCTAAAAAATCTCTACACCAAAATGAAGCCTACTAAATGTCCAGCAAGTGAGGAGAAAATTCAGGCAAGGAGAGGGCAAAAAAAGGGCAGGAGAAAGAGAGAAAAGTAAAAGTCGTAAGTGGGGCATTTCTTTTCAACCCAAAATCTCGAAATTTTGCTTTCTGTGTGTGCCTGAGATTTTCAGGCTGCCATTTTACATTTGGATTGAAAGGCCGTCGAGTGTATGAGCTGTCGATGGGTTTTTGGTAAGTTTGAGCTTTTAAAACCACAGCAGTGACCCGAAATCTGCTCGACTAGCTTCAAAACACAGTTTTTCACAAAAGCTGCAGCCATTAAGGTGTTTATGAATTGTTTTGTTTTTAGCTTGTCATGTTGTCGCTGAGGCGCCGTCCACCACCAGATTTGGACTTGATTGAGGATGGGTTTGTGCTCACTGAGGAAGAATCTGAGCAAAGGAGACTTACAAGACGCATTATAAATAGAAGAAGCAAAAAAGTGATTTTACCTGTACCAGAACTAAGTGAAGAAGAGTATGTTCAAAGATGTAAAGAAGAGGCTTCAAATATGTTGCTTGGGGTGAGAAAGAAAAAAACCAATTTTTTGGTTTTTTTTTTATTTTTTTTGTTTTTAAAGCAATAGACGTATTTCAGTCATAAAATGCTGGAGTTTTGTTTCTTCTTCCTTCTTTTGATGCCTAACTGTTTTACTCCTGGAGAGACCAACAAGAAATTTTTTTATTCTCACCCCTTGTGTGCTTGATGTTGTATTGATATAGTAAGAAAAATTCTGTCTTGGTCACTCATGGAAGTTAAAGGGTTACCAGGCTTAAGCTTCAGAGAGAGATGCTATGACCAAGCAGGTACTACATCAGACTCTGGTTCTTGAGCTCAAAATCTGATTGCTAGCTGTGTTGCAGTGTTGTGTTTGCAGAAAAGACAATGATTTCACTCAAAGGTGGTTCATGGCTATTTCTCCACCAGTGTGGAGCTGTGCATTCTTCATCCCTTTTACTGCCAAGACCTCTTTAGTAATTCTCCTTATTGGTGGCTACTTCACAATTCTTATGATGCTAGTTTTGAGAATTTGGTATTGGATCCTGTAATAATCCCCTAATTGACATTTTTCTTTATTCTCAACACTTGTCTGCTTAATAGGACCCATGTTGGACCCATGTTGGACCCATGCAGGACCTATGTTGATTGCAGTGTTTTATAACTGAATTGGTCATCCTGCATAAATTTGTTATTATTATATTATATTGCAATGATATTGTAAAGAGAAATTCTACCTCAATCACTCATGAGAGTAATTGGTCTCTTTACTTATTCTAATTTTGATTATATTTCTTTTTAACAGAATGAAGAGGCTCTAGAAAAACTCTACACAACACTGAAGGAACGATATCAAGAAAGATATGGCAATTTTGTGACAGTTCAAACAATTCCCAACCCTCCCCACTCTCCGTACCCAAACATGGCATATGTTGAGTTAGTGGGAAACCCCCTACCTCCACTCCCCAGATTACCCGTGGTCCAGGGGGGGAACTGGGTCATTTACAACAGAGATGATTACGAGGATGATAACAAGACTGTGGTGAAGAATTTCTTTAAGTGGATGGAACGAAGGAAAGAGATAAAAGTGCAAAAGCAAGGAAAAGAGCATAAGCAGGTGTAAATATCATAAAATAAATATTTTGATGTATCGTGGCATGTGAAGGGCTTGAAAGCATCTTGAATGAAAAACATCTGCTGAATGGAAATCAATTGTGCCCCCAGGAGGTGATGTTGGAACATCAGCCTTGGTTTTGGTAACATGGTACCATGATATGATAATCAGTCAACACTTCTGTAATTTTCTTTGAGTCACACTTTCATGTAGTTCTGTTCAAGTTAGCCAGCTCTAAAAAGCAGGAATATGTTTCAGTATTGGTTGATAATAAACAGATGTCAAAAACATTTCTGCTGTAGGTTTGATTTATTTCCTAGCTATCGCAGATTAAGGGGATGAAGTGCCCATGTTTGGACTTGCTGAGTGCATTGCAGGGAAATACCAGGTGTGAAGGCAATTTTTACTTTCACTTCACACTCCCTTTGCACTTATCATTGTGAAGACAACCATGCAGGTCCCCTAATACAACTTTGGAGCTGACACCTTCCCCCCTTGAACAATTATGTGTTGAGGTCATTGCAACTGCAGCACAAGTTTGAATTGCTAAATATTTAGCTGGGTAATATTTTCACAAATCATTTCATTTGGCTCTCACTTGACAAATTAATTTTTGGAGAAATTAATTTTTCGAGGTCCTTTTTGTAAACCACTTTTTAGTGAAAAAGTTTCCTCATTAAAGATTGTCATCATCATCAGGAGGTACTTGTGGTGCTGCACTGGTGGGGGGTATGACAAGATAATTTGGTTTTATCAACTGAGTTGATAATTTGAATTGGCCACTGTAACGAGGTTCTAAAACTAGCATTCTACCATAAGCTCTTTGTCAGAAAAAAAATGGCCAATTCATATTATCAACTCAGTTGTTGCAACGAAATTATCTTGTAATTTGTGTGGAAGTCAGATGTAATGTTGGCCGTACATGACGACCTGCTTTCTTGGCTCGGGGTAAAAAAAGACCCGTTATAAGACACCACAAATCATTGATCATGAATAGCTTCAATTTATTTTATTTCAAATGACCTTAGAATGAAGATCAGATTCCCTAACTTTGAATACAACTGTGCATGTGTATCAGTGTATACCGATACTTGAAAGACTAGCGTTGAAATCAAGAATTCTGAGATTGGAAACACGGTGAGTTCAATGTGTACAAGAATGACTCTTTCCTTGTGAAAAAGTGTTTCAGAAGTGCGACATGAAAGTAAGACAAAATTATGATATGAAGTTTTTCCCTGTGTACCAGCATAGCTAGCCTGCTTGCAGGCGATACTTTGTGTTTTCAAGCGCGAGATTCTGCGGGGCAAATATTCGGTCGTCATATTGCACGGGTGGAAGATGAGGGACGAGTGACAAAGCGAGGGGGAGGGGGAAACTGGATTACCTCTTGCAAGCAAGCTACAGCATAGCAAATCCTCGATTTATTTTATCTGATTTGAGGATTTTTAACATCAAAGTCATCACAAAAGCCAATCAGAACATGGGAACATATCATAAGTAGTCAGTGAGAAGGCAGAATTAAAACGAGTTAACTGCGTAAAGCGCGGGAAAACGCGGTTGACCCACGGCGCGATCGGGTTTAGGTTTTGAATCTGATTGTTTGAGAGAGTCGTACGTGTTTTCTGGACCAATCACAGAGCGAAGTAAAGCAAAACCAAATCGACTTGAGATTACTTTCAGCGATTAGTTGAAAACTACTCCAATAAAACTATTTAGGACGTTTGACCGTAAGCTATTCTTTCTTATTTCAGAATATTTTTTAAAAGTACTACAACATCAAATTTCCGAAAAATAATTTTTTTCTTAATTTAAAACTTTTCTTTTTGTATTGAAAACTACATCAACTTACCTTCACGGTATAATTTTTTTTCCAAAAAGCTATTTACAACTCAATATTATATTAAGCCTAGCCTCTAAAACTTGACACGAACATAGTTGCTCAGCTTGTACAACGTTTGTAATAATTTAAATTGCCCTAAAACAATTAACATTTACATATAATTGTTAATAACTTACTAAAATATTAAATTTATCTTTGAGATCTTAAAACTTCAGATATCTTAGCCGTAAGTAGGTCCTCTTTAAATTCTTGGTTGGCTTTAGAAAATTTTTAATTCTAAGATTTTTTTCCACTTCATCTATTTGGAACTATTTCCTAGCAAACACGAAAAAGAAAATTTGTCCTCTAATCCTTGAATAGGACTAGAAGAAAAAAGAAGAAGAAAATAAATTCAAGACAAATGAAAATGTTTGCAGTTTGCAGTTCGTGAAAACGTGAATTTAACTTTTTCTCAAGTGTAGCCGATGCGGAGGCGGAGCCCGCGGCGTTTCTTCACAGCGCGGCCTCGCCTTGTGCATGCTCATTTTGTACAGCAAGATTATCAGTTCCTAACTCAGAAACAGAACTCTTGATGCTTTGTTCTGTGACTTGGCTGTCGGACTGTACACGACCTGATGTAGAGAAAACAAAGTAGTAGGTTAAATTATTCCTTATTAAAGGTGGTTCGTTTTGCAACACTGTCTTTGAATAAAGCGGGATGTAGTTCCATTAGACCATGCGATTTCACAGATGCCCTGCAACTGTGGCGTGCAGAACTCTTTGGCGAGATTTTCGTTGTGGAACGCTTTTCCATTAAGGGTCGTACAACCAAAGTAGCCAAAACAGCCAATCAGGTGATAGGAAAGATCACGATCAGCCAATGAGAACTCGCAGTAAAAGATCACATCGCCGAAATCGCGGGCAAAAAGTCCTTTTACAGTTGTGGGCTTGGTGGCCAAGCCTTTGAACAGGAGTGAGGCTTAGGGTGACCTTGTTATGATAGAGATGTTGCTGCTTTGTAAATGCAAATTATTTTGTTATCATGCTGGATACAGGTCTTTATCACAACAGGGTCACCCTTAGCCTCACTCCTGTTCAAAGGCTTGGCCACCAAGCCCACAACTGTAAAAGGGACTATTGCGCGTGACCAAGCGGCGGTGGGACATAGTTTTAAATCTGATTGGTTGACAGAACGGCGAGAGATTTCTCGGCCAATCACATAGCAAATCGCATAGCTGTTAATCGGCAGTACCACATGAACCTCGAATTCAAGAACAAGAAACGGTGCGAGAAGGTTAACGGTTAAAGCCGCAAGACAAAAGCAACAACAACAAAGAGCAAAGAAAAACATGTAATCACGTTTATTTCACTTAAGCGTTAACTACAGATAGTTTTGTTAATAAGGTTAGTCTTACAGAAAATAGTTTAAAACCGAGGTAACAATGATGTGATGGTGTGGTCTGATCGTCAAGAAGGGTGTAGTCACGAGATGAACTGTTGTCAGTAGTAGTGACTGACGTTTTGACAACCTGGGCGGAAGTCATGATCAGGGTCAAGATGATGCTGATGATGATAGTGACTTCCGCAGTGGTCGTCGAAACGTCAATCACCGCCACCGACAACAATCCCTCTAGGGACCACATTCAGCCAGGCGATCAGACTTCAGGATTACAAGATTATTCTTTTGCGTTAGTGTTCGAGAGAAGTCGCATCGTCGCAAAGCTATTAAACTTTACAAGCAGTGGGTTGGTACAACATGAAGACAGCAGTACCGTTAGTTCATTAGGTTCACTGTAAAATACAAAAATCAGGGGAGTTATTTCATCGTGCGAAATTACCAATGCCAGAGCGAAAACGTCTTAAAGTGATTTGCGCGCTAGAGCTGTGGAATTTACAGAAAATGCCAAATGATGTAAATAAGCAGAGAAAGAAAGAAAAATTTATCCAGTTAAGCCAAAATTTGTTGCTATAACAGTTTCAGTCAATAGACCGAGCGTTAGTCTCAACGAATATCGGACGAGCAAGGTAACTAGAGCGCGAAGAAGAAGTCGCGCGCGATAGTCACGCGCTTCATTTTCCCACGCTATTCCTTGGCCCTTCGCGCTCGTCTCGCGTATACCTCCAGTTCCCTGAAAAAAGTTCTAAAATCCAAACAAAAAACAACAACAAAAATAAAAACTAGCGTGTTGTGGGCATTTAGTTTATAAAACGCTTGATGGTAAACAGAGCAATCGCAGTGGAGGAGTGAAAACGCGAGGGAGGTTTTTTTATTTCGCGACTCAACCCAAACCTCTCTCATTTTTTCCTTCCGACGCTACTATCGCTGCTACTAACGGAACGCCTGGGATAGACAAGATAAAAACGGAAAATAGCAACAACGAAAAACGCTTGTTCAGCAGGCTACCGCAGTTTTAGTAAGCTGGTGAAAAGTGCCAAAATTTTCAGCGATATGCGATATCACATGTTATGCGATATCACATGTTATGCATAGATTGAAATGACGCAGTCAGAAACTCGAATTATACCTCATGGAAATAAATTGACCCAGAGGCCCATCGAGGGTCATTAAACGACTCACTTTCATGCCTACCTTGTGAATTCGGGGGATTGTCAGCTTCGTGTGAGCGCCAACTGTTTAAGGACCTACTTCGGAGGTTCCTCGTGGGCCTAAATACCATGATGTAGACCTTAGGTCCAAAAATGCACAGTAACAGAGTTGTGGCGTTCAAAGTCGTATTAATTGCGAGTGTTACGGTAGCGTAGTCTTTATTTACGCCTATTTGCACGGGAAGAAACGCCACCCAAATAATACAAGTTGTGTACATAGCAAATCCTATGTACCTGGCTTCGTTGAAGTTCGCAGGCGTTTTACGCGTTCTGAAGGCGTAAAATGTACACAGAATGATAATTAAGACGTTGTACGTCAATGCGAAAACCAAATCGTAATCGTGAAAGTTGCATGTCAGTAAAACGTCTTTGTTTGTTGGGTAGGCAAGGACTGTTTTTGGAGGCCACTTTGCCAGGCCAATACCTGCGAACACAATGTCAATGCTGACAAAAACTGCCAATATTGCAATCTGCGACGCTGGATTGATGAAGAGAGGAGGTTTCGTAGATCGATTGCTCTTCTCGAAAATTCTCGCAATCCGATTGGTTCGGATGAGAATGGAAGCATAACATACGCAGAACGAGAATCCCAGACCAAACCGCTGGATGGCGCAAATGCAGGTCGAAGGCTCGGCAAGCATGAAAAACGAAAATATATAACAGGACAACAAGCCGAATAGCAGTGCGCATGACAGTTCCCTCCCGGAGGCCTTCACCAGAGGGGTGTCGTTGTTGATGAGGAATAAGGTCCCAACAAATATTGTGCACATGATGCCGAGACCAGAGAATATCATAACCATGACTATCCAACTCTTGGCGATGTTGCGTCGAGGCAGTGGTTCGCAGCCGTTCCTTTAGGCATTAGGGCGTTGTCCTTGTTGGCAGGGTTTACAACTTGTCTCATCTGCGAAATGAGAGCACACTTGATCGTGAGTAATATAACCATGATGAACATGACCGGGTCAGTTTCCAATATCTCACCTCGCCTCACTCTATCTTCGTCGTAAAAATATCGATTTTTTTAATATGAGAATATGGACTAAGCGGGCGACTGAGATCTCAGGCAGGCGTGTAGCTCCCTTTAAGCCAATAAGCCCGGGCTTACAAACTTTTCTCAAAATTTTCATTTTTTTCTGGGAATAAATATACCTTCCCGGCCGCACTATACGTATGAGGTATGGAGCAGGCTTACAAGCCAAAAATTACTTGCTACGCCCCTGTCAGGTTTGTCGGTCAAGATCTCAGTAACCGGGCCAAAATTTTTTCCTTTTTGAATGTTTAACCCGATTACTCGGATGAAACTTAAATAAAGAGTTGGCGTTTCATACTTCGGTTACCGATCTGAAATAAACCATTAGAGTATGGGACAAAACTCGCCCTGTCAACCAGGCAAGACCAGTCCCTGGGTCATTTTAGCGAGGATCTTACATCGGGGTTAGGAAAAATGAAACGATAACTACAAAAAAAAAGTTCATCAGGAAACAGGAAAAAAAGTATAAAATATAATTAACCACCGTTTTCTGCAACATTTGGTTCACCAAAACTTGCGCCTAATTCTAGTATCCGGGGGCTATTTAGCGATGCGACCCTCATTCCCCAGAGCCTTGTTTTCACAACGTTTGGATAGATCACCAACAAGTAAAGCTTATTTGTTTTTTTTTATGCTGATAGATATTTCTTATGCACTACAACTACAATCACATTCGTAAATGTAATTTAAGCACAAACGATAAAATTAATTAAAAAAAAAAAGAAACACCAAAGAAACGCTTAAAGCTGACGGAAAGACATAGAGATAGAGACAAACAGACGTTTGAAAGCCAGGCTGTCAGACAAATGACAAACAAACAAACAAACATGTATGCAAACAGACAGTCAGACAGACAGTCAGGCAGACAGTCCATCCGGAGACAGACAGACAGACAGTCCATCCGGAGACAGACAGACAAACAGTCCATCCGGAGACAGACAGACAAACAGTCCATCCGGAGACAGACAGACAAACAGTCCATCCGGAGACAGACAGACAAACAGTCCATCCGGAGACAGACAGACAAACAGTCCATCCGGAGACAGACAGACAAACAGTCCATCCGGAGACAGACAGACAAACAGTCAAAAAGACAGACAAATAGTCAGACAGACCATTAGACAGACAGTGAGACCATCCTTCGCTCCGACGAAGGGCTAACTCTCGAAACGTCAGCTTTTGTAATCGTTACGGTGGCCAATTTACCATTTCAACTTTGTTGATATATCCAAATTATATAGTGAGACCATCAGACAGATAGCAAGTAAAACCATCACACAGGCAGATAGTCGGACAGACCATTAGACAGACAGACAGACAGACAGATACACAAATAAACAAACATGTAGACAAACACAGACCAGTCACATGGCGATTACCTTCTACGTAATAATCATTCGCACAGCGTTCACAGTTCCAGCAACAAGATCCCTCTGTGTCAAACTTTTTCCGATACCCAGCCTCGCACGGTGAACTGCAATGTGATAAAGGAGTCGTACCATTTTTGCCTCCTTGGAAAAGCTTCGTTGCGTTGTACAGTTTCCCGTTCCAGGACGCAACTTTTCTGTATCGACCGTACTCCAAGCGATAAACGTCGTATTGCCCAGGTCCATTACCGTTCTTATCAAAACTCACTGTGCCTGTTACTCCAGTAAAAGTCAGGTTGAAAAGCTCATCGCGCAAGTTTTTTCCTTTAAACCCATGGATCAAATTTTGGCAAAGACCACTCTGTGCTTGACACATGCGTTTGTAAATCTTGTTCAAACCATACGCAAATGCGTACACGGCGTCAATGAGAAAAGGCACTTTATCATCGATACGCACATCGCTTGCTGCAAGGGAATAGTTCTTAGAACACGAACTTTAGTTGTTTTGTAGTCTGCAGCCAAACTTCATCTCCCAAAACTCATCAAACCAAGGATTTACCTTGGTCCTGTTTATGCCTGGTTTAAGAGAAATGAAGTAGTCTTTGAACTTCGGATAAGGGGCCTCCGTCAGGCTTATAGTTATGGCGCCTTCTGCGTATTTCTCCAGGCCCTCGATGGTCTTTTTTCTTGTTCCCCAGTAGTCGCTGGCTACCCAAATGAAGTGCCGGTCCCTTTTCTGCTTCTGTACACCTTTGAGAAGCCTTCTTGCGTCTGTATCTGTGCAAAACAAAATCACTGCACGGACTTGCTCGTGTTTTCCAAAATCTGAGATAATGTCATCTATTTGCATCTCATTGTTGGAGCCTTCGATCTTATACGAGCCCGCGATGCAAATATTCGCGGCTTTCGCTCCGTTCGAAAACTCTCTGATTCCCCGTTCACCGTAGATCCCCTCGGAGTGGACAGTGAACACGGAAGTCCACTTCAGTCCCCGCACGACGTCGACCATCGCCCGGGCTTGGTAATTATCTGGGGGAACAGTTCGCACGAAAAAGTCGTACTTTGTTTTGTCACTGAGATCAGGCGTGGTCGAGGCGTAGCTTATCTGAGGCAGATTGAAAAGCCGTAAAAGGTTCGCAACTTGAATAGAAACGGAGCTAGAAGCCGCACCGACAATCCCAGCTAATATTTTGCCTTTCTTTGGTGCCGGCGTGGAAAACGTATCCCCCAATTCACATATGGTCTTAGATCGCGATTTCATGACAAACCCAAGCGATTCTTCCAACGCCTTTGTGTACAAATCGCAAGTGTCGTAGGCAGACATACCAAGAGTTATGTTCGGAAGAAGATTGGGATTTCGATTGATTTGATCTACAGCGAAGATCATAGCTTCCAATCGGTGAATTCCCCGTTCTACGTTAAGACTGCCACATTTAGGAGGACCATTTTTGGTGACATTTCTTGCATGAATTGGAAGAAGACCACCAAGAACGATATCTGGCTCGACTTCTGGCGGTGGAAACGTGGCACTCACACCATGCATCACCTCGCTTGATCCCCCGTGATGTATCGGGTAGCTATGGTTAGGAGGAGAGGCAGCCATGCTTTGACCAAAACACAAGCTTGATAAGGACGGAAGAAACAAAGTAATGTTGACAAACGATGTAAAGATGTTTTTGTAAACATATCGACGCGAAGGAAACTCTTTAACGTTTGGATGCATAGCAGAAATGTTTCACGATTTAATTCGAAGAAAGAGGCCTTGTTTCTGTGTATTTCATTTGAAACGCACATCAACTCTGTTTTATTTGGACGCCGAAGACAAAATCACCTAAAGAGAGAAGGAAACAAACAACATTATACAGCTAGTTGGCCATCATTAAACCGTTTCTGTAAGGTGTCGAAAAGTATGTGAGTAATAAAAATAACAAAAAAATTGCCAAAGTTAATGAAGGTCGAAGTTGTTTTTCTAATCAAAGAACGAGGAAAGGTTTAACTTTGAAGAATCCGAAATCTGGTTGAAATTGAAGTGCTTGGTTTAGGCGACTATATGATGTTAAGTAATGGCACACCAAAACAAACTTTACGAGACCCCAGATTCCGGCCGGAAACTTGGGCATGAAAATATAGGGCTTAAAATCGACTTGAATTCTTTGATTCAAAATATTCCAGTTACTGACCTTTTTGCCACCAGTAGATCTATTTAAGCTATCACTGGCCTTAAGTGAATAAAGAGGGTTAACTCTTGACGATCAGCAGAAAGTTAAAGAGCTCTAAAAGCTGATTTCTATTCAGTTAAAAACTTCAGCCTGTGGAAACCGCTCTGCATAAATCCAAAACACGCGAAATAATCGAAGCAGGGATACCTTTCGAAAGCGCTAAATTATACCATCGTCGACTGGGATGTTATTGCTAAACAATCGTCTGTATTCGGGATTGTTCCATCTTGACCTAATTTCGGACGCTGCAAATTTAAAAGCTTATCCGGCTCTTTGAAGTTTGAGGTCACGGAGATTTAGTTTTAGTCTACCAAATGTAATACCCGAATCAAACTTGAGGTCGATGGATTCTCTTTTCGAGCGTGTGGTTTCAGCGTGCTCAGACGAAAACTGCGCACAAGAAAACTCTTGTACTTACCAACTGAAATCTTTACTGGGGGGTTTTAACTGGAGTACACATCATGAATTGCATATGAGATGTTTGCGAACAGTGCTTGTTTTGTCTTATGTAACCTTAAGTTAAATTCTGTCAACATAGCATCATCTGTGACGCTTTCATTTGCTAATATTATTCAAGATTGCAGTATCCAGGAAACAAGAGAAAGTTGCCGGTCTAGATTGTTTTTGGAGAGAAGTCCGTGATTTGCAGTGAAATCAGCGCATTCCTTGCCTTCTGCATGGAAGCAAAGAAAACTTGTTTACGACAAATGGAAATTTAGGGTTAGATCTGATTGCGACCAAAGTTCAGAATAAAGGATTTTAAAACAAAAAGATCAGTGACACAGAGAGAAAACACTAACCCCGCTAACTTCCGCCAAGATTGTACGGAATTTTAATGAATAACTAACTTGTTTACCAAGTAGATTAGTTTTGCAAGTTTAGCTGTTGTTTTAATGATTGATTGCTTCGCTACGATGTTTACTTGGCTTCCACGAGTGCAGCGAATGTAAAAATTTTCAATCAGGACAGTATAATGTAACAGCAAACAGGACGATGGGTTTCAGCGAAGACACTGAGTTTCGATAAGAACAGTTTTAACTGAACTCGCTCCGAAAGTAATTAAAAATTTAAACATCGCAGTTGAAAGATAACTCATAATTTTTTTACTGCAGTATAATTTTTTTTTTCAAATTCAAACTAGAATCATGGAGCACAGATAATAATACACGAGGTTCAGATCTTTCCGTACAAACGAGTTTGTTTGACAAGATCTATTTTTGGAATTCGGTGACGTGCGCCTTACTGAACGCAAATTCTGAGCTATATTAAGTAGGACGTTTTGAAAATTATTCGTGGGTAAAATAAATTTGTATCTGAGTGAAAATCGCTTAAGGAAATGAGGCGAGACAAAGGAATTAAATTAAGGGTTTCTGGGCAAATTTTCCATAGACAAAAAGTTTTACTTCAGGGATCTTAAAAGCGACCTCTCGAACATGTCGCCGCCAAATAGATGAATAACCATTAACATCAGCTCTGACAAAAAAGCGGAATATTTCAGTCCGTTTGTTTTGCATCTAAGATTTCAGTTAATCAAGTTCCGCTTTCATCTACGACTTTACTGTAGAAATCACGACAACCGAGAATTCCACTTGAATTATTACATCGTGTGAAGTCCACACTTGACATCGAAATTTTATGACAAGTAGAAGAAAATGGAATCAATTGGGTTTCCGAGACTTCTTGTTTATCTGATTTCTTGTTGTCCCAAATCCGGTTTACAGATAAACTCAGCAGAGACATATAATAAACATTTTTGTAGGTTGTAAAAACAAACATCAATATACAGAGCATATGAAAACTCTGCCAGATTTGGAGATTAAAAAATTCATTAAGCCTCTGAAACAATTTGCATATGCCGGAAAATGGTATTTTTCCGGCCGAGAATCAGTTGAATTTCACAAGTCGACAGGAATTAGTTTGCAGAAAGGTAAGGCTGAAATTTAGCTTGTTTCTCGTAGCAACGAAATTATTTAAATGAAATAGAGCAATGAAAACAAGTGCAGCTAGTTTAAACAATTTTTCTCTCTCGTCCTAACATTAGTCGGAACCGTAACACTAAAAGATTTCAGTTGAAAGTCATCAGGAAAAAAAAAAAAACACCAGACTTTCGCACATGCTAATGTTAACAACAACTCTTTCATTATTAAAATATGGTCTGAAAGAACTTACTTAGTTTCAGATCCTGAAATCCACGTGAGTTTTCCGCTGAAGAAGTTAAACTTTGGTAAACAACAAACACTTCGAAGCGCTAACAAAACTTTGCGGTTCGGCGCTACACCTGCGGTCGCTGATATTGGACTTGCTGCCTGACCTGAGGGTCTCGATATCAAATCTACTGGCAACATAACTTTACAAACACATAGTTTTCACACGTGATTTCGAGACAAAGGCAACGTGATCTTGCTAGCTTTCAATATCCGTTTTCTTATGCCGCATGGCAAGACATTCGAGTTTAATAGAGTGGCTTTTAGTCGCTCTGCAGTTTAATCTGATCCCATCAATGTACAGAATGCGAAATCCTCAATAATGCTGATGACATAGCAAAATTGATTGCCTTTTTTGCTAGCGCACAATTTTCATACATACGAATCGGTTATTTCAATAGGTAAAGACTGGCCCTGTTTCATGTGAAATGCGGCCGATCAAATTCTCATACTTGTCTTTAACTCTAGTTGAGATGGAAAACAACTCTTGCGTGATTCTTAGAAAAAGGAAACCTTTTCTGTGTACTTACGAAGCCCACAGAAATCTAGTGGAAAACAAATTTACGAAGTCATTTCTTTTCAGACAACAAGGCAAAAGTTAAGTTGAAACTGACAAAAAAACAACAATAAAAACTTGCCTTGACAGCTAAATCCTGTTATATCAGACACTTTTTGTCACGCTTTCTCAGTCTTCACTGCAGGACGATCTCGAGCAAAATGAAATATTTCAGCGGAGCAAAGGCGCTTAAACCTGCGAAAAGGATATTTGTTTAAAACACGTGTTGTTACATTTTCGAACACGATTCAGCGTACAATTGGACTTACCCGGAAATAGAAAACTTTCGATTCTAGACTTGTCTGTGTACAATTACACAACAACAAACGTGGTCGAATTAAGCTCGCCGGCAGAAGTTACCTCCATTGCATTTCTCGCCGAGTATGATGGAAAATGTTACTTCATAGGCACTTGTGTGGAACTCTAAGATAAAATCAAACTCAACAGATCGGCTTACCTGCAGAAACAGCGACCACATGTAGCAACGTATTCCGCTTGAGACTGCATACAGATTTACACCACTCGTGTTACAGATTTGCCCTTTATTGACCCAGAGCTGTTGATTGATCTTTCAGTTAAAAGGAGCAAAATAGAGCTGTTTTTCTTTTCTTAACAATCAAGGTACTTGAAGGTAACAGCTAAGCATCTCCTTTTATATCAGCCTTAATAATTAAATAAAACTGCCTTCATTAATATTGCCTCGCAGGTTAGGACCGGAAAATAAGAAGATCAAGGTTCGATGCATACTTTTACCATATTTAAACAAACTTCCTCCAAATCTTACGCTATTTTGAGGAACTACGCGATGAAATTCGAATATCGAAAGCTAGCTCGAAAATGCTTAGTTTACACACACGCTTTCTCCATGCAGCACGTAGGAACTTACTAATTCCAAAACATTTCGAAATTGACAAAAGCAAACAGACAAAAGAGAAAACAAAGTAGAAATAATACATAAATAATTCATTTTGTTTCATTCCTTCCTTAGATGGAAAGACCTCAGCAATATGTTATCATTTTATAACAGTTTTACGCTTGTAAATCGCCTTGAAATTCGTGCGTTTATTTCAAACCAGTTCCAAAACTATCTAGTTGATCCCAATAACTAAGGAGATACAGTGACGTAAATTAGCCAAAAAAGAAATTATTAAGGTACAAAAAAAAGAAGCAAACCTCCAGGAATGAAGTCTATGGTGAAAACTTTTGTTAAACCAATGAAAACTACCAACATTTCCGTCACTTTGTGCAAAAGGCTGTTCAGCTAATCACACGCTGTTTTAAATATTCGAACTTCCAGAGTTCTGACTGGTTTAAAAGCGAACTCTCTGATTTTTTTTTTAAACTTAATCAACTTATAATTTATTTCAGTTCGAAACAATTTGGTAAATTAGCTATTGCCAGTTCACAATTCATTTTAGTTGGATTCAGGTCATATTTTTATGTCACACAATTATCGATGTATAATCTATGCTAAATATAGCTCAGTTCACTTTAATGCTTCCGATGAAACATGACAATTTCGCGAAAATGATCACGCAAAAGTTTACCTAATAATATTTGAGGAGATTCAAGAAATTTGGTACAGGTCCAGTATTTTTCAGAGGAAAACACTGAAATGTCCTTAAAGATCAAAAGGGCGGATTTGTTAGTCTTCTATATATATCAAACCCAGTTTTTCAAAATTTAGTCAAAATTTACAAATTTGTGTTTTGGCTAGACTGAATTGGCGTTAAGTCTTAGTTTTGTTTCAGGATCTTTTTTTTCTCTTTTCATTTTCAATTTTATCATTTTGCCTCCGTCAATACGAGGCACATATAAACAAATTTTCCAAGGACAAGGTAAATAAAAAAACATTTCTCTATCCTGCTTGGGTGTGTTGCACACAGAATTCGGGATCATTTTGAATGAAGATTCGTTAATACAATTTTTTAACCACACATCAAAAAAGTATCACGGTTAATCAACTAAGTTAACCACAAAATGAACCCTACAGTTGGTAACCTACCGGAAAATAAACTGGAATTATTTCCTTCAACCTTCCCTTGCCTAGAGAGCAAACGCCATTTGCGTTTCGTGAGCGACTCTCGATCGGGCGATTCATCAAAGGCGGTAACGTTGGCTTCTCGAGCTCACTGTTTACAGATGCACTGCCCACAACTTTCATTAAAACCTCTATTTACGACGTCGCACATAAAAGGTCTGTTTTAGTTGTCAGCTTAAGGGCGCTAAAGACCGCCCTTCAAGATGAGAGGAACGAATTTTAAATTTGCGACTTACTACAACTGACGTACGTAAGATATAAACAATTTTCTGTTGAAACCGGGCGATTCACGATATGAATTTTGATGACTTTCAAAACGAAACCAAGAGAACAGCTTCTTGATTTTTTAACTGGCAATAAAATAAAAGAACTCCGCCTTAAATGGTATTTCAAAGCCCCAAAAAGAGCGATCAACTTTTTGTACTAACTTCAAAAGAGTCGTGAGGGGTTTTTCATTACTTGTGTGCTCAAAAGCTTTATTTCTAAATTATTTTACTAGAAATATCCCGCAGCAGTTTTTAAATTCGCCAGGTACCATTTTCGCGTTATTTGCACTCCATATAGTCAATACTGTCTATGGAAAATTGAACAATTTTGGTTGTCTCCGTCACGTATTGACAACTCCCAATTATGAAGTAATTCGTCGTATTCGACCAAACCTCGAAACCTGCCGACCCGAAAATTAATGCACGACCAGTTCAAATGGAGCGTTTGAATCAGAAAGTACGAGCAAGCCAAAAAAAATACAAAAAAAAAGCTGTGCAACAAAGCAGTTGCTGTTGGGAAATTCACTGCAAGAAATTTCCTTGTTATTGAAGATGTCCGCACATTTTACGATCGCAGCATCACTTTTGTTTAAAGAAATAATCGAGATTCAAAATTAAAACATTTACAACAAATAAACATTAAAATAGATTCGTTTGGAGAAAACATGATTTGCCAAGGTAGTCAATGAAAGGTTTCTTATTGACATATTCAAATGGCATTGATTAATACCGAAAGAAAAAGAGGAAACTTTACAGCTGGTTTTGTTTCATGATTTCCATTTCAAAGCAAAGCGCTGAGAACAAACAGACAAAAAATTAAATACACAATAAAATATATTTGCGAGGAAGAGAAGAAACTCAGAGTGGTCCATGATTAGTTGATATCGTTTTGATTGTGAATACAGTACCGACTGAACCGTTGGACTGGACTGACGAGACGTGGAAAACACCAAAAACCTAGGTTCTACTTAAAATTATTCCCGTTGCTCTTTTAGATGTAGCCTCAAGAGACAAGTGCTTTCGTCGTTAATTCATGAGAGAAATCGATGCATAAATTGCAATCGTATGTTAAATAAGCCGGTTTTTTTTGCCATGTTTCGCAGCTGGTATTCAATGGTGTTTCCTTATTCCAAAGTATGAGTTCTAGAAAAAAAAATCATCTCTTCCCTCTGGAAAGGCCACGGGTTTCAATCATTCTTAAAATTGTGAATGACAAATCGTCCCACCAAAAAATAATTTCAACTGACAACAAAAACCAGCCGCAGATTTGTTAGTTTCCCAGGAAATTGTGGTGCTATGTCAATCATGGTGGAGGAGGGTACAACACGCACACACGAATACACATACAAATAGACAGCAACTTAAGCACACTGAAAACATGAAATATATGTCTCCAAATAAACTGCTATGACCTTCAGCCAACAATTAAAGTATGTAAGTACAAGTTACTGGTGGACAGAACTTTCTTTCCATGCAATGTTCACATATCTAATCAAAACATTGTCAGCAAATCTGGGAAAATTGTTCAATCTTTTTCTTTCATAAAATTTAAAAATCAATTTCAGTTTCTGAGCTACCTGCCCCTCCCTTCTAATCCAACAACAGTCAACTGATAACAATTTAGGGTTAATGTTGGGTTGGGGGGAGGGGTGGGTGTGCAGTTGCTCAGATACTGAGTCAGACACAGATTCAAATTTTTTAATCATGTAAGTGCAGCGGCAGTTCATCTCGTCACAAAATCTTGAATGGTCCAATGAGAGAACAGCTTTTTGCACAAGTAGTGGATTGTTCATCCACTTTTCAACTCATAATTTTTCAAAATCTACCACCAGAGAATTTTACAAGCATACTGGTATAGGTGTACCAAGACTGCACTCTAAGAAAAACTGAAGGGAGCCCAGTGCTCTGAAACTTTGAAATACAGGGTGCTCAGCATATGTTTTAATATAAAAAAAACTGTCACCCAAGAGAAAAAGTAAGGTGCCAGGGGCCACCCGGTGTTGCTAGGCCACAGTCCTGTGTACTATAAACGTTCCTTGCCAGCAAATTCCAGCAAACTTTGTCCGGTTAGGCGATACAGACGCCATTCATCTAAGCACACTGCTCCAAGTTTGTCATAGAAATCTGTTGCAATTTTGTTCCAATGAAGAACATTCCAGTCAACTCTGGCACAACCTTTCTCCACAGCTACCTGAAATAATGAGAAAAAATAATTGGTGGTACGTATCTTTACACCACTATACAGGTACCTCATTTGATCAATGTCACAACAACAGTATACATGGACAACAGAAACAAGAACAATTTAATTCTACACAAAGGAAGTCCTCTGTGTGCATCATTAATTCTTGCACTCTAGCTCTCATTTTACAACATGAGATCTGTCAAACTACTCTTGCACATGCATGGTATGATCCACTTAATTATCCTATTCTCTCATAACAATCACCAAATGAGGATGTGAAGCTTGGAAACTTAACTGATTTTACCAAAACAGGAGATTTATAAAAAACTTTTCTACCTACCCCAGCCACTTTCCTCAACATCTCTTTCCCAATTCCTTTTCCTGTCAACAAAACCAAATTGAATACATCTAAGGGTGATAATTACCAGGAAAAAAATGCCCTATGATGCTCTAACTCTACCAGTGGCCCATGCTCAGACTCTCTTATCTATGTCATGGCAAAAAGAATAAAATTAAAAAATTAAAATTGCTGTGAGAGTAACTTATATGGTGACCTGTGTATGTCTATTATAAGCTAAGCTGTATGGTACTTACGGTCTCATTCACAGTTAAGAAAGATAAAAATTTAGAAGGAATGTCATCTTGTCTGTCTGTCTATTCCCATACTGTTTTTAATTCTAAATATTAGTCGCAAGCTTTAAAGGGTTCTACACCTTCAAATATGATTGCTATGCATTTTGAAGAAAAGTGGTGACCTGTCTGAGATGTGACTCATCAAGTGATCATTTGAAAAAAATCCCCTTTCCTTTGTTTTGAAAAAACTTTATGACTCTGAAACTGGTGATCTAAAAGACCCTAGGCATTATACCAGAAATAAAAAAATTATGCAAGTAAAAAGCAACCAACTTGATCAAAGAGTTCACCTCTAAAAGCTGGGTCAACATAAAGGTCTTCCAGATATAAAGATCGCCCATCCCACGTAGAATAGATGTTGAAAAATAATGCATAACCAACTGCCTTTTTCTTTGGTAGACTGCAGTTCTTTTCTTCATTGAGGTTCACTTCTTCTGCCATCAGACAGCTGAACCATGGCATCTCTCCAAATCCATCCCTCCGCATTTCTACAAAATAGACAGAATTTGCAGCATCTTCGAAACCTCTTTGTTTCTGTTAAATAATACAATAGCATTTGTTCTGTGAAAGATCACAGATGTGGTCAAAATGTGATAAGAACAAAAAAAAAGGAGCTCATGAGACCCAGCTAAATGTGTCAGTGATGGTTCTTACCACATTTCAATGTCTTCTGTGATATTTTACTTTACAGACCCACGGCAATATACTGTTGATGATGATGGCATCTGCGTGTCTATTCTCTAATTGACCTTAAGTGGGAACTAATTAAAATGCTTGTTTGTATAATCTGTAGTGGATGATTCTTGTTTACCTCTTTACACCCT